TGATTATGTTTATTTGCAGTTAGTTACGAATTCAAATATAAAACTTTAATAAATTGTACTTACGCACAATTTACTTGTAATATTAAATTTTAAGTAATATGTATCAATAAACAATACTTTATGCATAAAAAATTGTTTTTAAAATTTTTTCTCAAATACTTTATAATATAGTATTAGATTAAGGGAAGAACATAATTCGCTACAAAAACATAAAAATCCTAAACGTGAATTTTAAGGTTAAGGGACCTTAATCATAACCAAGATGAAAAATAGTGATTAAATTTGTAACTTACTCTAATTCTAAGATCTACCTTATACAACTAGATGTCTATGACATCACATGATGATATGATGTCATGGGTTGGCCATAGACATGAGCATAAAATATTGTTTCTACTCTTTGTCATTTTCCTAATATAATATAATCTTTTTGTACATTATTAAATAATCAAAATATAAAATCAAATATATTATCATTTTATATTAAAAATGATATTTTTTCAACATATTTTTAAATGTATCATTTTTTTTTGTTTTTTTAATGTATTTTGCACAAATAATAATCTAAATGTTGGTTTTCAATATTGATTGGAACTCGTTTTTTATTTGATCCTGCTTTATTAAGTTCAATCCACGTCTCAATAGGGTTTACACCTGCGACATGATAAAAAGGATAAGGGAACACCATCTGTACCAACCGAGATCATAGTTTTCTACGAATTCAAATTAATGGTCGTGGAGATTTGTTTAAGACTTCAATTTCAGTCATGTGATATTTCTTTGTCATTTATGTCTTCCACCTTTTTCCATTTTCTTTTTCGATTTCTCAAGGTCTGACGACAACTTTGCATAGGAGTAGTTATGACTCCGAGAATAGAATCTTATCCCCGCCGACTAAGCCCGGACTCTTTCGCATCGCGCTAATTCAGTGCCAGCCRTTGGTGAAAGACCTGCATGGAGCAAACCCCGGAACTACGACTCAAAGGATCGTGCAATGGGTGTGTCGGGTGTAAATACGTAGGAAGAAAAAACCAATATTGATTTTGAAATTTGATAGTTTACTTTGGTTGAACAATAGAGAAGGTGGATTTCGAATGGAGGTTCACTGCAGGAATGACCTTGATGAATATGCCGTTTATTTAACGAATTGAAAGTTAACATAGTTAGGAAAAAAGAACCCAATAACTAAGGTGTTGTTTACCCAATTGCTTACCCGGTAAGCTTTTACCTATAGGAGTCAACGCTATTAAAGATTTTGATGCGCAAGATTTTAGTACATCAAAACATATCAAATGCAACAATTTATTGGGTACGCGTTTACCTAGGCAAGAGTCGTCATCTTCACTTATCGAATAAGACTCTTTATCATTCTCATCGTTCTTACCCGATAAATTTTTTGACCATTCTCATGTTCATCCGATAAAGAGTATTATCTGGTAAACACAGTAAGTGTTTATTAAAGACCCCTAAATGTAAACTACAAAAACGCTGAATGTACTAATTTTGAAATAWGAACAATAAATGCATTTTATTTGATTTTTAATATCACGCCTTGAATACAAGTTAATGTATATGACACGACATGATGTGATGGGTGGGGCGTAAGCATTCCCATAAAATAATTGTATCTACTCTTTGTCATTTATCTTAATATAATATGGAAAATATTTTGTATATTAATTTAATAAGCAGAATACCAAAAATTATGCTAAAATTAAATAACTATCATTTTTTATTAAAATTATGATTTTTTTTTTCCTTTTGTATTATTTAAAAATATATCATTTCTTTTAATTTTTTGATGCATAGTGTATCAATTTTGTATTATTTTTTATGCATAAAATATTGTTTATTGATGCATATTACTTAAAATTCAAGATTACAAGTAAATTGTGCAAAAGTACAACTTATTAAAGCTTTATGTTTGAATTCGTGTAACTAATCAAATAGAAGATAAACATCTTATTTTAAAATATAAAAAATCTAAAATATAATTAGAATAATTATTGAATTCTAACAGAATACTTAATTATTATCTTTGTAAAAAAATATATTATTAAACCTAAATTAAGTTACTTCGTTACGTTAAATTAAATTGTAATAAAAATTTTGAATTAAAAAAATACACAAACAAGAACTTTTAAATAGTTAATTTGATACTAACATTGATATATTTTTTACAAATTTATATTTTATTCAAAAATAGAAATATTATCTCTTTTTCAAAACCACATAAAATTGTATTATATCGATATGGATAAAAAACAAAACAAAACATTGAAATGAAAAATATGTTCGACACATTACACGAATACCCTTCTAATAAATCATTAAAGCACATAAAATCTTTAGTTTTTTAGATATTACTATTTTGCCCTTATTTAAAGTGTTAGAAACATATATTAGTTTTCAAATATACATTAATCAACCAAATGAAAAATATAACATCTGAGATCTTTGAAAATCTCATGCCACAATTGATCCACTTTTAGACTCATAAAATAACTAATTTAAATAATTCCACCGATCGTAATTTTGTACCAAACAAAACCAATTATACCAATTAAATCAATATCAATTTAGTTGGTATCATTGCACTCAGTTAGAAGTACAGTGTCCAATATGCAAGCTTAGGTGGTACACGATACTGAAATTTTGAAGTACCATAATACTTACTTATTTAATTATTTATTAATTTATATATTTTTTATTGAATATTAAACATTGAAACTATAACTAAGTTGTTAGAAATTTGAAATTTTGAATATTTTCAAATTTTATTCTTGCAACTAAAAACCTTCAAATATCATATATGTTAACCGAAAACTCAAAACGTCACTTAAATTTGAACAAAATGGCAGTTTTCATACATGTAACTTAAAGTTAGTACAAAACCAGTACTAACATGTACCAACCGAAGAACTTGCTACCAATTAAGTTAGTACAAAATACAATTGATTGGTATATGATATAAGATTTTACGTACCAATTATAAGTGATCGCTACACTGTATTGAAGAAATCTTTTTGGTACTGTACAAAATCTACCCCTAAATTAAAATTACAATTAAATTATACATCAAGCTGATTCACATGTATACTTAGTATCTAAAAAAACGCAAATTGCTTTTTAGAGAAGTTGTGTATGGATCGCTTTCATGTTATAAAAAATTGCTTTTTATAGAAGTTGAATAATGTGGAGTTGATCGGCCAAAATTCATATAAATGGAGATAAGATATATGGTTGACCAAAAGAAGAAGTGCTACCAGTACTATGACGGATTTTGGTCTTGCTTTCTCGTCGAAGCAGCTTTATCAGACGACGTTCCACTTCCAGCCTTTCAAAAACTGGATGAAGGTCAGTTTTTCTTCTTAATTTAGGGGCCGAGAACTCAAATGCTTACCCGGTAAACGCTTACCAATAAGAGTCAACACTATAATTTATTTTGATGCGTAAGATTTTAGTACATCAAAACATATCAAATGCAACAATTTATTGGGTAAGCGCTTACCTGGGTAAGAATCGTTATCCTCACTTACCGGGTAAGACTCTTCATCCTTCTCATCGCTCTTACCCGGTAAGATTCTTGGCCCTTGTTATGTTCATCCGATGAGAAATTTTATGCGTTAAACACTTACCAAGTAAGTGTATAGTAAACGGCCCCTTAGACATATATTTCATCTTAATTAATTCTTCCTCTTGTACTTGCTCCTAAATATATATAAATATATCGTCTGTGGTTTCATTGATATGTGACGATGAACACGGGCATATGATGATTTGTGGATTGATTGAATGGGTGCAGATCCTAATGGTTAGTCATTCTCGCAACCTACTTTTTCACTTCTTGTTTCTATGGTTTGTGGATATTTGTTGGATCCAAATTTTTTGTCAAACAAGTGTACCTTTAAAACAGATCAAAGGTCCACAAAATTGTCCGCTCTATTTTTAGCAGAATTCCACGTTCGATTGGGTTTTTAAAGTTTTTTGTTGATGTCGAGAAATTTTCAAGTTTTTTAGTTTTTAAAAACAATAAGGGGTTGTTTTTTTAACTCTTAATAGTTCCATTAAGAGGCAGCCTCTGAATCGTTAAGAGGTGAATCTTGTTTGACAAAAAAAAAGTTTGTTTCTTAATGGTTCTAAAACTCTCTGAATGATTTTGTATAATGGATCTCCCTTAACCATTAACCGTCATAATTTCATTGTAAACAATTACCAAACAATTATATTTCTTTTTGCACTTTATCACGAGAGCCTCTTAATTATTCTGATCACTTAATCATTCTGCACCAAACCATTCAGCAACTGTCCGAGTCCATAGTTGTTTTGATTCCGGCTAAGATGGAAGATTGAAATGCATCCTACAGGACCAATGTACTTCAATGGAGTATACCACCTCTTCTATCAATACAACCCTTATGGTCCAATCTTCACTTTCGATCAAATGCATTGGGGACATTCAGTGTCATATGACTTAATAAATTGGATCGCTGTAGACCACGCGATCGCACCCACCGAACCCTTCGACATCAACAGTTGCTATTCCGGTTCTGTTACAATCCTCCCCGGAAACAAGCCTGTTATGTACACAGGAGTTGACTCCGAAAAACGCCAAGTTTAGAACTTGGCCGTCTCAAAGGACTTATCCGATCCCTATCTTAGAGAATGGATGAAGTACAGTGGCAATCCCGTCATAGAAGTTCCTGACGAGATTCAACCGGGTGATTTTAGAGACCCAAAAGATGGGAAATGGAGAACAATTGTGGGAAGGCGGAAAGATAAGGACGGAATCGCATTTCTGTACCGATCCGAGGACTTTATTAGTTGGACAAAATCCGATTCGCCGTTTTATAAGGTTGCAGGCATTGGGATATGGGAATGTCCTGATTTCTTTCCGGTGTCGGTTGATAGCAAGGAGGGGGTCGATGCATCTGTCCTGAACTCGAGCGTAAAACATGTATTGAAGTTGGGATTAGGGTTTTCAAAAAACTGTGGTTACAGAAAGAAACACCCAATCACCATAATTTTCGATTAACTCTTCAATATGTAAGAAAAAGATTTTAAAGAACGTGTAAATTGAGGTTCGATTTAAAAATGTGAGGCTCAGATTGTAAACAATCGAACAAAGAGGATGAATCCGCCATGGCTGCAAACTTTCCTGGTTGCAATGTCGAAGAACTGAGACTAAGAAGTCTTCTTTCTTCCACATAACCATCCGGATTACCCTGCCAAGATGCGTATTATCTCTAACTTTGATCGGATCCACTCAGATGCAAACAAATTCATCATCACAGCCTCTTAGAATTCATCAAATCTGAAAATAGCAATTTTCAACAAACCATAAGGACGAACACCGTAATTTACTCAAATAATAATAATAATAATAATAACAAGATCATCAACAACAAGTATGGAGCTGTTGATTTCTATGATTTGTGTGTATGGATAAAGCTTTCCGAGCTGAAGGGTGGTTGATTTCGGGAAACAATCATCGGCCACAAAGAAGGATGTTTGACAAAATAAAGTCAAAATCAGACTTTGGTATGAACAGAGGGGGGCAACCACCCTTAGAAACCATCATCTACATCCCCTCTGAAATCAGCCTCATGTTCTGAGTGGAGTTATCGAATGTTTTCCTGAAGAAGACTTCGTAATTTGCACCGAGAAGCTCAGATCTGCAGATCAGGTATCCGACAAAAGGGATCAAACACCGCCATGGCTGCAGCACCATTCGGGTTGCCCCGCCAAGATACGGGCCGAGTTTCACCCAGTTTTCGTAAACCTATGCTCGGAAAATGTTAAATGCAGAAGCCATCATAGCCTCAATATTTTTCTGGTAACGACCTCCGATTATCTCCGGATCGGAAAACGAAAACAAAGAGATGAATCGAAAGCAGTACCAAATAAATAGAACAAATGGAAGCAGTTTGCGATTAATGAAGCATAGAAACCATAATTTCCCTTTTTGTTATAGAAAAAACATTGAAGCATATTTTGAATACAAATCTGAGAAAACGTTTAAGGACCAAATCCATAATTCAAATTTCCCATTTGGGTTATTCTTTCTGCCTTCGTTGTTCTTCAAGGGCTGTTGGTTATTGGCGAAGAATGGGGGAAGAAATCATCGGCTCAACATGACCTGATTCCGGATCCAGATCATGTAGTGGCAAGAGAAGGGCAACCACCCTCAAGAAACCTCCCGTCTCTCTCGCCGGAGCCTCCATTTTTTCGAGCAAACTTCCCCGAATTAACCTTCCGATTGTGCTATTTGTATTTATATACTATATAGTGGGATGTCTACTTTTCCTTTTGGGTTACCGAAGTTTTGTCCCTTGAGCCCAAAAGCCGATATGGGCCTGCCATGCTCGGTTCAAATTGAATGAAGTCATTAAAGTGTTTTAAAAAAAAATTGTAATAAAAAATCCAAGCTTTGTGACTTATTGTAGTATGACACTGGTAATAAATACTTTTTAAGTGTTTAAATAAACAACTTATACCGGTACCAAACTGGTAATAAAAAAATTTTGAACGAGTTAAATTCTTATGACTTATAATAAGTTGATAAGTGTTTTTGTACAAAAACATAAGCAATCTCAAACACCCAAAAATTTAAAATACTTTCAAAAGAGCAACTATTTAAAACTTCCATATTAATCTTATGGTTCTTAGAAAAATCATACAAAACCTTTAAAAACTTCCACGCTAAAGACCGCTAGGAATTTTCTTAGCTGTTCTTTAGAGACTCGGATTAATCAGGCTGCACGTAAACTGACACAAAAACTCATGGTTACCCCAAAAGTAAATAAATAAATAGAATTTTCTAATAAAAATACATGCAGAATGACCAAGATGCAGATGCCTTCCACTTTAAGTCCCAATGAAAATACCAAATGTTTTACCCAAGGTAAGCGCTTACCGGTAGGAGTCAACACTACAATCTATTTTACCAGATAAGATTGTAGTATATTAAAACGGTATCGTATGCAACAATTTACCTGGGTAAGAGTTCTCACCATCACTTACCGAGTAAGACTCTCTATCCCTATCATCACTCTTACCGGGTAAGATTTTCAACCATTGCCATATGCATCAAGTGAGGAAAGTTACCCGACCCATACTTACCGGGTAAGTATTTAGTAAACGACCCCTAAGAGGCCGTTTATCAAATGGTTATCAGATGTCACTTGCTTTACTTTATGTGACAATGGCCAAGAAGCACGCATAGCAAAAACCAATAACCTTACCCGATAAATGAATGAGAAGATTTTCACCTGATGAATCAATAACATCCCTTTTGATGACCAAGAATGTTTACCCGAAAAGATAAACGAGTGGTGACTTTAACCATCAACGCTCACCGAGTAATTATAAGAATGCATAAAATGGGGTCGGTTGAAAAATATGAGCTCGTATCTATAAACAATCAAACAAAGAGGATAAATCCACCATGGCTGCAAACTTCCAGGTTATTTTTTTTGAAATTATTCAAAATGACTGATTCAAAAAAGCTCATATGTAGTTTGTTCTTAAATCCTCAATGTGTAAGGACAAAGACAAGAAATTGAACCACAAAGCTGGCCTAATTGATTTAAGCTTGGCTCCAAAGGTCAAAAGTACCAGGAGGTCCCAGTTTAAAATCCAAGGAGTAATAAAAATCCCCTTGTGGCCACGGAGGTTCAAATACGGTGACTCCGGGCTATTTGCAAAGCAGGTGGTCGTCCTGGGATTAGTCGACTCGCATAACGGGTTGGATATCCAGGTTAATCAAAATTAAAAAGACAAGAAATTGCAAAATGGGGTTGGATGGAAAAATGAGAGGAAAAATCCGCCATGGCTGCAAACATACTTGCTTCTTAATTGCCCTGCCAAGATGCGAATCATCTCTCAACTATGATCCAATCCCACTCAGATGCATTCAAATGAAACAGTAAGGGCATGTTTGTTAGCAGCTTAATGAGCTTAATGGAATTCACAGCCTATTCCGTCAGTTATACATGACTGTTTGGTGATGGCTTAGCGATATAAAAAGTGGCTTAATCAAATTTGGAAGGAAAATGATAAAAGAATGGGTAAAATGGGGGTGAGTTGAAAAATGCGAGACTCAAATCTGTAAACAATGGAACAAAGAGGATAAATCGGCCATGGCTGCAAATGATTGCCCTGCCAATATGCAAATAATCTCTAACTTTGATTGAATCCACTCAGATGCTTTCAGATTAATCAACACAGCCTCTTAGATCGTCTTCATCAGACAAAAACAATCATCAATGGCGAAGCTTTTAGGATTCATGAAATCACAGAGACGTTATTTAAGGAGTGTTTGGTTTGGAGAGTGATTTTCATGAATTTATCCAATCTCATAATCAAGAGTATGATAGGAAAGTAGAACTTTTAAGAGTGGACACGAAGGGAGTAGTAACATCAACAGCAACAACGAAGAAACTGTCGATCTGTGTGTTTTTTTGGAGAAAATCATCGGCTACAAAGAAGGATGTTTGACCAAATAAAGTCAAAATCAGACTTTGGTATGAACATAGGTGGATAACCACCATTAAACCATCATCTTCATCCCCCTTATGTAACTGCCTCAAGTTCTCTGAGTGGAAGTTGATTCCATTACAAATACAAAATTTTCCCTTTCTAACAACTTCTTTGGATGAATACAGAAATTGTAATTTCGGATGAGAGGCTCAGATCTGCAGATCTGGAATAAGACAAAGGGGATCAAACACCGCCATGGCTGCAACACCATTCGGGTTGCCCCGCCAAGATACGGTCCGAGTTTCACCCACTGCCCAGAACAACATGCTCGGAAAATGTTAAATGCAGAAGAGTATCATCACAGCCTCGATCGTTTTCTGGTAACAACCTCCGATTATCTCCAGATCGGAAAATAAAAACAAACAGATTAATCGGAAGCAGTACCAAAAACAAGAAGAAGTTCATCAGCAGCAGCAGCAGCAGCAGAAGCCATAAAAATAAATAAATAAATAAATAAATAAAAATGGAAGCAGTTTCTGATCGAAAGAGTGCCAGATTAAGCATATTGCTGATATCTGAGGCTGAATTAAAGCACAGAAACCATAGAGCATCTCCATAAATTTCGTAAACCACAGGGACCATAGATCCACTGTATTTCGAATTATGGCTTCAGTAAAAATAGAAACTGAAATATTACCCTTTTGGTTTCATCTTTCYGCCTGTTCTTCAAGGGCTGTTGTTGATTGATGGTGAAGAACTGGGGGGACGAAATCATCGGCTCAACATGACCCAATTTGGGATCATGTAGTGGCAAAAGAGGGGCAACAACCCTTGAGAAACCTCCCGTCTCTCTCGCGGGAGCCTCATCCAATTTTTTCCGAGCATTTCTCCCCCAATTCACCTTCCGACTGTGCTCTTTCTATTTATAGTGGGGAGCAGGGTGTTAAAAAACCTGACGAACCTGATCAATCCGATCAACCCAATCCAATCTAATGCGAAATAACTCAATCCGAAGAAATAACTTAATCCAAAGCAATCCGATATCTAATCGAGTTGTAAAATTTTCAAGCCGTAGGTATTGGATTGATATTAGGTTACTATTATTTGAACTCAACTCAACCCGATGAACCCGGTATCCATTTATTTTTTGGATTTAATATGATTGCTAAATTTCTATTAATATATACACTAGACAATTACACTATCACGTACGTTATTCATATACACATTTTTTCAATTTATTCACATCTCTATATAACTCATTCATATATATGTTCTGTAACTATAAACATATATACGTAAATTGAGAAAATTAACTGAATGTGGTATATGTAAGAAGTATGGATAAGTTGTACCAAATGGTTGATGATGAAAAAAAATTATGAGTAGAGAAATAACATATTCAAGATTAGAAAATTATTTTAATGTACCAAAGTATCAACCCGACCAACCCGTACGATTTGGGTTGGGTTGGGTTGCACTTTCGTTTGGGTTAGGTTTGGTTAAGATTTTTCAAACCACAAGCATTAGGTTGGGTTGTTAAAATGTCTTCAACCCAACCCATGAGCACCCCTAGTGGGAAGGCCACTTTTCATTTACCATATTTTGTTGCTTATTTACCGCAAAATTCATGTATTATCTTAAAATAACTCATTTAAAAAAAAAAAGATTTTTTACGTAAAGTTTATTTTCAGGACAAAAAAAAAAGTAAAAAAGATTTTCTCTTTCTGCATAAAGTTTATTTTCATGTGTAAAAAAAGAAGTTTACATAAAAAAAAAAGACATTACGGAAAAAACTTTATGCAAAAAATCTATTTATTGCGTAAAGTCTTCTTTCTTGCGTAAACTCCACCATTTTTGCATAAAGTTCCATTTTTATTTTTATTTTCCTCTGAAAATAAACTTTACACAAAAAATCTTTTCTCTGTGTAAAGTTTTTTCTATAAACTTTACATATTTCAGGAAAAATCTTTGTAAAATGGCAAGTGAAAATTATTTTATAAAATGGTTATTTAAGTAAACTTCCCTTATTATCTTATGAGGACTTTTAATCTCAAGTCTCCTCCATCAATCACGTTTGATACGGAAATTGATCTTGTGTATATCGATGAATCTCATTCTAATGCACATCCATTGGTGGAAATCTCTTATTACGTTTTTCACTTTAACTCTCTTTCTCATCAAAACTCAACCCAATTATCTGATACAATGTATGATTAAGTGTCAAATGACGATAATTATTCATCTCTTAACGGAACTGCTCCTTTGCACCTATTCCATTTTTTGTGTTTTCTTTATGCGGATCCTCCACCTTTATGGTCCAATGGTTTCAGGACTTTTTTCTTTTGCAAAGACAAGTGATTGTTTTCATATTTTAAAATATATTTTAGACAAATATATATATATATATATGTGCGTATGTGTGTGTGTTACGCTATCATCTTGTACTGATATCATGATTTTACCTAGCATTGATCCTGAATTGATTATGGTGGTTATGCCAGATAAAGAGGATGTATTGGTCTTCATGGGATTAAGCCTAATGTTATATCGTCTTTCTCATGGTAGTTTGCCAAAAGATGGTTACCGAATGATAAATCAGGTTGATCAATTTTATGATAGTATTCGACAAATGGGAAAGGTGGATAGAATGTACTGTCTTTACTTAAATGAATCATTATGGATTATTCCAATCAGTCTTATTTTAGAGAATGTTAAGCCTTTTGTTGGTGAAGGTTCAGTTTGTGTATATATATATATATATGGGGGGGGGGGGTAAGAAGGAAATAAACGCCCCTTAAAAAGGTCTATATTAATTTAAGAGTAAAGGCCCATTTATCAAGCACTGGTAAAATTTAACACTATTATCTATTTACCGGGTAAGATTTCAGTTCATCAAAACAATTTCATATGCAACAATCTACCCGGTAAGCGCTTACCGTGGTAAGAGTCGTCACCCTCATTTACCGGGTAAGACTTTTGGTCCTTGTCTCGTTCTTACCGGGTAAGACTCTTGGTCGACAAAAATGGGTCTCCCTTGTCACTTGCTTTCGACATCAGGTTTATTCGTGCTTTCGGTGTTTATGAGCGTATAATATATTATCTTATTTTAAGGGTTTTGTGGAACGAGTCTCATGCCCTTATTTTGGAGAGTGAGTTAAATGTCGGTTTTGCTTAAGCACAAATGTTTAATTGGATCTCATTTTAGAAACAATGGTTTTCATGAAGATGTCCATTTGATTTTTATATGCTAATTCAATAAGGAATTCTTGGGTAAAAGAAAACTATTTGGGTTCTGTTGTTTTATGTTTATGAGATAAATTACTTTAACTCACTAGCCATTAAGTCTAACACTTTTTCTTATTAGTGGGATCGGAGTGTCATCCAAAGCTTTGTAGAGATTCCAGTAGGATGGCTTAGAGGCGTTATTCGGTTTTGAAGATAATAGATTTTGGTGGTTTAGTAACACCCGACTTATTCTAATTTTGTTTAGAATTAGATAGTCTCATTTAGAACTCTGATACATGCTTTGCATACCTTTTAGGTAAACTTTATGTATTCATTATGAAAGTTGTTTTAATTTAAAGGAGTTTAGAAAGTTTTAAATCGTCTGCTATTTGAGAATTTTAAGGGTGTTACAAGTTAGTATCAGAGCTTAAGTTTAAGAGATTTAGGTATTGGTATTTAAATACCTAGACTTAAATTGGCTTATTAAGTGATGATCTTAAGATCGATGCATGCTTCTTGAGTTAAGATGTCTTGGGATTATGGTAACTTAAACACTGAGAATTGTGATAATAGTTACAAGGACTCTCATGTATAATATATTCAAAATTTCATTTAGCCGATGCCATTATGAATTTATCTTACATGTGTGTGTTTGGTTTACTATTGTTATGATGATTGGTGAATGTGTTAGTATGCCCAAGAATGTTAATCTTCTAAAATATTGCTTTGTCATTTGTTATGACAGTCGATCATGGTATTTCTGAGAGATCGATAGGTGGTGCAGGAAATTGGTCAAGAATGAAGCAGTTCACCATGAGAGCAAACCGAGGGACCACACCATCTTATAACTCTTCAGTTATCACAAATTCCAAGAGCTTTAGGAGCTGTTGTTGAGCAGACATCGGGGAGTGCTTTAGGTCTCTCAAACTCAGTCATTCCAAGAGTTGACCCCCAATCTGCAACGATGGACAACTTTGTGTAGATGTTAGACTCCGCCATGAACTGTCAACAAGAAATGTTCACCCAAATGCTTGAAGAAAGGGGTGCCAGTAATCATAGACCGAAACAATTAAAAAGAATGTAGTTGGTGGTTCCGAATTGATGCTAGAAAGAATCTGATTGTAGGTAACAAAGGTGGTATGAGGGAATGTTTCTACAAGACATTCCTTTGCAGTAAACCACCCGAATTCTCTGGGTCTACTTATCTGTGAGCAAGCTTTTTAATCGAGTAAGTGCGGCAAATATCAAAAGATGAAGCTTTCTTTTCAAATGTTGAAAGGCAAGGATCCTAGTTGGTGGAATGTCACCAGATCTCGCTCTTGGCCCGACCAACATGGCCATGCTAACATGAAAAATGTTCAAGGGAAAGATTATAAACAAATATTGCGACAAGAGAGCTCTAGAAAAAATTGAGAATGAATCTCGAGCCCTCTAAAAAGGGAGCATGTCTATTGCATATTATTCTACTGTATTCATGGATAATTTAGACTTGGTGAATCATCTAGCTTCGGATGAGAGTACCAAAATTAAATGTTATTTCAAGGGGATACCAGCTGAAATAAAATCACTTGTAAGTAACATCAAAGTGTCATCATTCCATGAAACTACTGAGGAATCCTAGCTGGTTGAAGATGACTTGGTCCAAAGGAAGAAGAAAGGGAGACTTTGGGTGATGGAGAGATCAAGAAGGATATTTTGGGTCCTTCAAGAAGTCTAGAAGTACTTCTCATGAACAAATAACCAAACCTAGTGAGAAGGATAAATGGTGTTCCATGTGTCGGAGTAAACATCATGGCACGTGCATCTCTAAGCCTCCGTAGTGTTTTAGGTGTGGAAAGATGGGTCACACAATTCGAGACTGCACCTCATGCTTTGGGTGTGGAGAATCAGGTCACATCAGGAAGAATTCCTCACGAACCAAGATAGGTTAATGAATGCGGCCAACGAAGGCTCATGAGCACCCTCATATGAGATGATAAGTATGTTTTGTTAGACTTATATGTGTTTGTTTCTTGGTTACTTAAGATATGTTTTGTTGGCCATATCGAGTTTTCTTTTGAAATGTTTACCGAGAGGCACTTTGATTGAACATAATCAATGCTAATTAAAATATCTAATCAAGCATGATTCAAAAACATAGTCCCGTCTTTCTTCATTCACTTGTCTACTGACAAATGACACCTGAGATATATACATGTATAGTATAAGCAAAAA